GTAACTTCTCCAACGTAGCGGCATCCCATCAGACTCCCACAGGTATGTCCGCGATGTGCTCGACGGCTGTGTCCAGTCCGGAGACCGAGTTTTTGAAGCTGGATGCGGTGTATTGGCCTTCCTATCGGCCGCGCTCGCTTTCATGTAGTCACCAGACACTCTTGTCTTTACTACTTCTTTTCTGAAAAGGCCCGACATCACCATCGGTGGCTGTGATGGCGCCCCCAGGACTGTGAGGCTCGTAAAGAAAGAACTAGCTCCACGGGAGTTCAGAGACAACTTTTTCGTTGGTATGTTGAGTCATCATAATTCCGCTACATTTTTCTCAAGGTATGTTGCCGGATAGCTTAAGTGGCGTCGCTGATGAGTCGTGGGATGTTCTCATCTGCAACAGCGTTTTTCAGTAGGCTTGGTACTCTCATTCACTTGCTCCTTCAGGAAGTGCTCAGATATTTCGCTTCACACGATCAAGCTTTGGAGACCGTTAACGAGATGCTACGTGTGGCGAAAAAGTGGGTTATCATTGCTGATGTGTGTTGCGAGAAGTATAGGCATCTTATCGAAGGTAACAACAATGATCGAGATCTCCTTAAACATATAGCAAATCTCATATTTGCATTCAGGAGCTGTACGCACCATGGACTGGACCAAGAATCTCCCTCAATATCGTACATACGAGAAGACTTGGTGGGATCAGTTTGACGACCAGGGTCATCTCGTCTCTATCCGCCATGTTAGAGTGAAGGAGTGAGTTGTGGTCATCTAGCAGAGTGGCTTATATGCATTCTGATAGGTATACCAGACGCCAGCAGCGCTACGTGGTTTACATTGAGAAAAACGGGAGAAAATAAACCGGAAATGTTAGTTTGAAAACTTTGCCTAAATCGGTCATTTTTTTGTCAAAAATAAGTTTCATTCAACTGCTATGGAAGGTTTGCGGTGGATAGTCTTCATACTCGTCTTTGCGGTTGTGGGTAACCTTTCAAACGCTTGGAAAGTGAAACACTGTGGGGGTCTCTGTTGAGTCATGCATACCTACATGATGTGAATGTGAGGATCCGGAACTACTTCATAATGAAGCAT